TTGCTTCCGAGAAACATGCAAAACGGGACGGAAAACATGAAATTTTGCAATAATCTTACGCCACCCTTGCACAAAACGACGATAATTTTTCTAATTTTATAGACAACGGAAGACTGTATTTTTTCTACATAACCCTCCCCTGAATTGAAAGCTGGATCCGCCCCTGGTAGAGAGAAAATGTTAGTGGGGAATGTTAAATTGGTCCCCCCAGCGAATACACCGCTGAAGATGATGCCAGGCGTGCTAGCGAAACGTCAGGACGAAACTCCTATCAACAGCAGCCGATTAACCAGAAAATTGGATGGCATGCATAAATTTGCCCGTAAACATGGAAAATTTCCGTTTCCCTTATCGCGATTGTTCCGTTAAACTTCCTGATTTGTAACTAGTGTTCGGTTAAACGATCTCCAAATCACTGGAACGTTGGAAAGTACTCGAAGCTCCCGACATTGTTTGCCAATTAAAACGTAGTTTGCAATTTTCGACTGTCGAGTCGCAGTCGCTTTTAGTTTAATAGGGGCCAATACCGCACATGAGTGCTGTAAAAGCTGAACTAATGCGCTCGTATAGACTGAACTGCTGCCTCCGTTAAAGGGAGTTTTGGGTTCAGGGCTTTTGCGAGTTGTTTATTGAAAACTGGGCAGTTTTTTTGGCTTTGACTCAAGGCGACGGTGTGGTGGAAAATTAATTACAAACGATGAAAAATGGAGGAATATGCGAGTTTGAAAAGGGCCAACGGCGCGCAAAACCGTCGGCTATCAGGTCGAAAAAATCAGATTTTCCAGTGAAAAATCGACTGCAACTTGGCCAAATATCTGACTTTGTCCGGTTGTTTACGTTTCAGTGGTCGGGGTTTTTTAATGCAAATTGCGCGCCGATTTGCTTCTCGCTTTTTCATCATTAAGTAATTTGGCGATATCAAAACCGGCGAACCGAACATCCACTTCAAACAATATTATTTACTTTGTACTAATGAAAACGAAAAGAGCTCGGATTAAAGGGTATTCATTTCAGTTTTATTGATTTCCCCTGGTCGGCTGCTGCAGCATTGTTTTGCCAATAAACAGCCTTTAAGTGCCTATTTTATTAAGTGAATACTCAGGATTAAAAAGGCTTCAGATCAGTGGTATTGATTAAACTTGCGGCGGCACATTCACCAATCAGAGCAGGCAACTGTGGGCTTCTAGCTGTTCATCTTCAGGGCAGTTGCCGATGGCAACTGCATTGAATGTTGAACTTGAACAAACGCACAATCGATAGTTAATATCCGGAGCAAACCGACAAAGGAGCACACGAGGAAATCTGTTTATCGGTTATTGATGTGCACATTCTCGCTCCACTTGGCCAGTAAAAGCCGCAGCCAAATTCGGCTTTGTAATGGCAATTAAATTTGCAACCGTGCGATTTCCATGGCTCGTCCATTAATCGAGCGAACGTTGGCTTTAGTGGAAACTGATTGATGAGTGATTAGAGCGATTTTTACTTAATGCCACGACTTTTATTTGTCCATCGTTCACGCCCACCCGTTACTTTGTTTCTCCAGCAACAAGAAAACGCCGAAGCGGCAATTGAATGGAACGGATTTTGCTCTTGTCGGAGCGCAAGTGGATTTCGACGAAATCCACTCTGGAGTTTTTCAAAGACACAAATACTTCAAAGTGGGGGCGGCCTCTCAAAGGACGTCAATTTTCTATTTTCGCATCCCCAACGTGAAACTGAATGCCCCTGAGTTTGGCAAATAATGGCAAATTTAAACGATTGATATAATGCATGCGAAGAGGTCGCATGGGATGCGCAAGACTACTCCAAGCCAACTTAGAGAACCGTAATTGTAATGTAAAATAGTCCCTGCCACTTGAAATGTGCAGTTTAGCCGTTAGCAGACAGGGGCGGATCCAGCTTTAAAGTCAGGGGGGGGGGTTATGTAGAAAAAATACAGTCTTCTGTTATCTACGAAATTAGAAAAATTATCGTCGTTTCGTGCAAGGGTGGCGCAACATTATTGCAAAATTTCATGTTTTCCGTCCCGTTTTGAATACTTCTCGGAAGCAAAATGAGCAAGAACGCTCGTTTTTACATCATTCCAGAGATAACCAAATGGTCTTTATTCGAAGTTTCTCAAGAACCATT